AATGTTTCTAATTTACAACAGAGTTTGGTTTTTTAAAGGGGAAAAAAGATGATTTTATACTTCTGCAAATGTGCAAACTGAGATATTTCTGCTAAAAATATAGTTGAGATGCTCTCATGGAGAGAGGTGCATGCACGGCTGTGTAACTCTGTGGATGGCAGCAGTGTAAAAGATTGCTTTACTTCACTTTTAAACTATCCAAACACGCAGTTCTGATAGTTCAGATTTTAACATAAATATTAACAAAATATTGACTTTTAAGTATAAAAATTCTCCTTGTAAGAAAAAAAGAGAAAAACAGAAAATAACTTGTTTTTTTAATCTTCCTAAATATATGACTGGCATCATTTAGGGGTCTGATTACAAGCGCTAAAGGCGATCGTGGGCTAAAGAGTTGGCAGTTCGTCTTGTAACCGGAAGGTTGCCGGTTCGAGCCCCGGCTCGGACAGTCTCGGTCGTTGTGTCCTTGGGCAAGACGCTTCACCTACCGCCTACTGGTGATGGCCAGAGGGGCCGATTGCGCGAGATGGCAGCCTCGCTTCCGTCAGCCTGCCCCAGGACAGCTGTGGCTACAACTGCAGCTTGCCTCCACCAGTGTGTGAATGAGTATTGGAATTGCAAGGTGCTTTGAGGGCCCCGAAAAGCGCTATATAAATGCAATCTATCATATATATATAAATAAAAGAAACTGTCTTTACAAAGTCTTTCAGAAAAATCTGCAATAGAGATTTCTAATTTAAGAGTTTCAGATCACCTTTTTGATTGAATTTTAAGGGGGAAAAAAAATCACAATCTTTACCGAGCTCAGGTAAAGGGACTAAACATTACCATAAAAAAAGCTTCATATCATACTGTAAGACTGGACGATTTAGCTGAAAAAATGTTGCAAGTGAACGTTTAGTATCAACAATCTTACAGCTTGCCACACTGACACTTAACGCCATGACCTCATTATGTTTGCTTTTCTAAAAAAAAAAAAAACCCACACACACACCAAAAAACGTTGGTGCCCCTAAGCTTCATAAAACCGGACTGGCTTCTTTAAGGCGGCAGGTCTTTTGCCTTCAGGTGTGCTCGGGGCTGAGTTTCTGTTTCATTTATTCTGAACACGTTTTTGAAAAAGCTATTGAAACTTGGCCTGGTTTCTGTTTACTGCTTATAGAGCAAGAAAAACAAAGCAAGTACTGACAGCGTGGACTGGGAAAACTGAAAACATTATAGAACGCTTACTTTGTTTATCCAATATTGTTTTCAGTCTTTCATTCGCAATAACTTCTTTATGGAAAGAAGCAAAGGAAAGACACCAGTAGAAGTAAAAAGAAAGCCCACAGACATAAATATTAAGACAATTTGCACTACATTTTCCCCTTTCACAACATCTTACAGCATCATCTTTGTATGTTAACTAGTTAACTAGAAGAACCGTCTTACCTTATCTAGTTTTGCCTCGATCTCCACCACCTCTGTTTCTACCTCATCAATATTCGCCCTGAAAAATAAAAGCAGGAAAAATCCATTATTACACGTGTGGTAATGTGTAACAAATTGAATTATGTTAACTTATTGGAAAACAGTTGATCTGCAATAGTCTTATTATTCCCCACATTCCCAGAAATGAAACAGAGTTTTGCGGAGCCAGGCGAGACTCCGGGTGTGTTTTTAATGAGCGAGACGCCATCCTGGGAGCAGCTCAGCTCTGTCAAAACAAAGTGATAGACATGGTCTCTCCGCAGCGAGGGGAACATAGCTGTCTGGCTCATCACACAACCCCCAGTCCACCTACTCACTGTCAACACTGAAACCGCACCCAGCCGCATCTGGAGCTCCCCTCTCCACCCTTGAGAGACGTGTGATTTACACCCAGAGGCAGCATGACACAGGCCTTACGAACACCACTCAGAGGCTCCTCCGCATGCTGAGGTCATGTCAGAGTATGTGCGCTGCGAGCACGTCTACGTTCACCGCCCTTAGTGCCGCTCATCTGTTACGGTATGTGCTTCCTGTTGCTGATGGTTTAAATATGATCTACAGCCAGCTTCTTCATGTAGTCACATTTTCCAATTTTTAGCGTGAACCCCAGGGATGGAAATGTTGGTCAGTCGGTCAGACTGGATCTCTTGTTCCAGGCAACACAAATATCCAAGCAGCTGTACAGTTATCTATGAGGCCTAGAGCACACACACTGTTAAAACTTGGCTTTACCGCCAAATACCAGCAGAACTAATTACACCCAAATTCTGTGTTTGCAGATGGCTGAGCACAGCTGATTTGTCCTGTTTGCGATTTCAAAGCTGGGAGAACTGGCTCATCCAGTGCTAGTGTGCAATTTGGAAGTGCTGTGTGTTGAAGTCTTCCTTCACTGTTTAATGATAAGGACTTGTTGGATGCCTGGTTGCTCAATTTAACCACCTTTACAAGCAAATGTGCATTACTGCTCACCCCTAAAGACTCAAAATCGTTTGTTGCTTTAATGCACGTTGAGCCAAAATGAAAAAAAGGAGTGACCTTTTGGATTTATCCAGTGGAGGTAAAACCCACAAGGTAAGCATACAAGTCAAACTACCATTAGCATCAGTCTACCCAAGCGCAAGCATGTCTGCCATCTTAAGCCGCCCGTCAGAAATCTAATGTGTTCATAGTTGATGTGAATATCTACAGACTTAGAGGGAAAGCAGTAAACAACAGGTGTTGTTTGCATGACAAATTTGTATAGCAAGGTCGAGATGGATGGCAGGAGGTGTCAGAGCGAGGGAAAAGAAGAAAGATGTCTGACAATTCACACTTTTTTCACACACAGGACTCCTTTTTCCAAGTTTTATATCAATGTTGTATTACGAATCGCACAGCAGCTCCATCAGATTGCAGTCGTGGCTGGCAGAATACACATCTCCGACTCATTTCTTCCTCTCTGGCCACTGGTGGATTAATCCGCTTGAACAAGCTCATGGGACGGAGGATGGCACATGTTCTCCAACCCCCACAGCTTCTACTCCCTTAATATGGAACCGAGAGGATTGGGGGAGAGAAATGCTCCAGAGAGGAAATGTCTGTCAAAAGCTCTAACTCGTGCAGAATGGAAACATGCATTACCTAAATAATCAATACCATATTATTCCACATGTGGACACGTGCTGTTGTAACCTCAACTGATCTCCTGCTGAACGGCTCTGAGCCCAACCACGCCCAGGGATTATCTGCCAGTGAGCGAAACTGTTTTCATTGCTGATGTCATTTTAGAAGCTGCTCTTTTTAAAAAATGTGATAGTGCAGCGCTTAGCAGGCGCTCGCTTTTCAAAAGGCTAGTTCTCCTCATGTGTTCATGGCTCCAGCAGTTCTTGGGACTGATTTTAATGTCATGTTTTATTTGCAAATGTCCACAGAAGAGTTTAGATGCTTTTGGTGGGTTTTTTTTTTATAATAATCGACTTCTTGTGAGTTATTAAGAAACGAGATAAGGTTAAAAATAGATAGCAACTGTTCTAGCAGACTTGCTGCCCTAAAAAAAGTAGTTAACTTCTCAGGGTGTTTGGTGAGGTGTACTGTATTTTGGGCCATGTCTGCTGCGGTAAAGCAACAGATGAACCTGAAGGAGAAGCTTTTGATTTACCAATCCATCATGTTGTAACCCTCAACTATGGTCATGTGCTCTCAGAAGTAACCAATCTCATTATTTTGGAGTAACCAAAACAATGAGGCTGTTGTGAGAAGGGGTGCTTGTGGGAAATGTGATTATGTACTCATGCTTTCATTTTTTCATTGTAGGTAGAGAGGATTAGAAAGCTATGCTTAAACTTGGGTGATTTTGTTTAGAGTGCTGAAGTGGGGAAGACCGCAGGCAGGACAGTTGAAGGGGGGGTACAATGGGCGGGCCACCGAACCCATAAGACTGTGTTGACTTCCGGTTGTGAGCCAGACCTCGCTAGACGTAGCGGAGGCAGGCTAGTTAGGTAGGTCTCCGGATCCATCTGTATTTTATTTATTTTAAGCGCAAATAAAGACGTCTAATTTTGGAAGTAAAAGTTTCCGCCTGATCACTACCATCAAAAAGAATCCGTGAAATTGGCGTACTTCAACACTGCGAATATAAGGGTCGCTGTTTCTTCGAGTCTAAAGGAATCCTAATCAGGGGAAGACCAGAGCTCGCTGAAAAGATTGTATGTTTCATTTTGTCCAAGATTCAAGATTGATGAAGGATGGATGGATATTCAGATGATACTTCACGTGGTGAGAGTAGAAGCTGTGGTTATCAAGGTCGACCACTGGGCTTAGGCCAACCCTTCAAACCAGCTTATTTTTCATTATGGCTTTATCTGCCACTCATTATTTAAATCCACACATTAACTGATTATTGGATAAAATACTGAAAAATACTGGGAAAAAAATGCCTATCACAAAATTTACAATAGGACATCTGAACTGTTTGATGAGATAAACCAAAGAAGATTTACTTCTGCTCAATTTAAGTTTTCTTCTTCTCTTCACGACATACAAGGCGAATTCAGGATCAAAAATGGGTCGGAAAATTAAAAACAACGTGCCATTTTTTATATCCTACTGCTGTCACTAGTTCTGTGTCTACAGTTTAAAACTAAATGTCAAAACTGAAAATTAAAAGCTGAAAATACCTTCTGCTGGCTCACCTGCAGTACCATGATAGTCCCCACACTTTTGGAAATCACAGGTTAGTCAATGTAATGTTTGTAGGTTTTGTCTAATAAATAAAAATCTGTGATGTTTAGCCCTGCCTGACGGGGGGTCAACTTAGGCCAGGCTTTCAAAACGCTGGCAAAAACCCTGATCATGGAAAATGAAAACCTCAGAATGTTTGGCATGATAACAAATGACTGAAACTAGCCAAGTGTTTCAGTTCCAGTCTGTTGGGCAAAGTGGAAAAATCCTCTCAAAACATCGTGTACACAAACACAAAAGATGCCACAAACATTAAACCTCAGTTACGCTGGTCTAACAACACCATAATGTGAACAATGTGTGTCTTGCAGTGATGGACGAGTTTCGGGTACAGCGTGGTGACACCCCAGCTAGCCGTCCCAGATGTGCAGAGACCGGCTCGTAGGACAGCTGCTCCCTCCAAGCTGTATCCCCCCCACTCCCCTTTTTTTCTGAATGCACACGCCTCCTATAATACATGCAGATGGAGCCTCGGGCCTGTAGCCACGGTAACCGTCTCTTAAGTGGGCCGCAGAAGTCCCTGATGCGCTTGTGAGCTGACCCTCATTCACACCAAGAGGAGCGGGGAAGCCAAATAGTGCCTTACGCGACTCATTACAGGGCTGGAGCGACAAGAGACCACCTCCATTAAAACCTCATCGGGAGCCCATTAAACAGCAGTACATCCAGATGTGGTTCACACAGACGCCACCAATCAACTCACGTAAACACGCCGCTCCTTAATGGCTGATTAAGACCCAACAGCAACACCCACAGTACATTTAAAACACGCCGTCTAAAACATTCATCCGACATGAAGCCGTGTAGTTAAGCCACGGTGTAAAAACATAATAAACACAGAGATTGTGCTGAGCAAGCTGCAGGTCTGATGGTTTCTGGCTGGTGGCGTGCTGACTGGGCATCCAGGGGAGAGGCTGAGGTGCCTTTTACTGGCCCAAAGTCACAGAACACCTCTGTTTCTCGTTAATTTGAGAACCACTGCACGTCTTAACCAGTTCCACCTGATGCTAAACGGAGATCTTTTGAAATGCTGGAAGGTAAATAAGTGTGATGTCCATGCTGGCCAGCTGTTTTGTGGTTTAAAGTATCTTCTCAGGGAAAATGTTTTCAGTTCAGACAGCAGTGGTGGAAAATTTTAGTCACATCCTTCACTTAAACCAGGTTATTTTTGTGTCCACCTTTGGGTTCTGAGGTTAAGATGTCAGTTCAGCTGGTCTCTAACTGTGTCTTAGTCATGTACCAAGGTTATTTGGAGCTTTTTATCTCAAGAACAGCTGCTGCAGCAGAAAATGACACCTTAAGAGCAGAGACCGTGATCCAAAACAGGAAAACAATAAGCTGAAATGCTAATGCAAGAGCTGCAGATTGAAGCGATAATTCTCTTTACAACAACCTTTCTCTCTAATCATATTCCACTGAAAACATTACATAAACATTACAGTGAAATAACATGTTTGTTACAAGTAAATGAAAGGAAACAGTCAGATTAGTAACATGTACATCACAATCATTCTAGACCTCAGCTGTCAAACGTGTGGTTTGGGGACCAGAACCAATCCACCAGACGTTCCAATTCAGCCCACTGAAAATTACAGGAAAGTTTAATTGGTAAAGATGTGTGAATCCCTCACCAAAGGCAAAACAGACACACAGGACACCGAGCGAAACAACACAAACACAACCTGTTTGAACAGGTGAGTTTTAAGCTGCTCTTTATAGGCTGTCACAGAGTCACGGGTGCAAAGAGAGAGTGGGAAGCTGTTCCGAAGTTTGGAAGTTAAAATTTGGAAGTCCCAATCACCCTCAGTTACACAGAATCACAGGAAGGCTCTTATCCAGGGATCCGAGAACCTGGTTTGGAGAAAAGTGGGAACCAAGATTTTAAACTGAAATCTACATCCAACAGGAAGCCAGTGCAAAAGTTTCAAAAATAGGGTGATATGTAAAGATTTATGGCAGTAAGTTAGTCAGTTTACCTGTGATGATTGTTTACTGTTGCTATGACAATCACAACAGCAAAAACATCCATCAAAATGTCAGGAACGCCTGCCATCACATCAGTGTGTATCCTGACTTACTGTTACAAGCCTGGACATTTAAACATTTAGACAACCTAATCCACAAATCACCACATCCCAACAGCTCCTCTCACGAGTGGTGGGTCCCCAGCAGGATGGACTCATTTGAAATGAGTCCTGCCAACCACCACGTGTCTCAGCTGGCTTAGAAACACCTATTTGCACTTGTAATATGAATAATATGCAGGATCTTAACCTGTCAAGTATTCAGTATAAAAAGTCCTCAAATAAATGTGAGAGAAAATGCATTTTTACAGGTTTGCAGTAACACAACAAAGGAATGGAGATGAAGGAATACCTTGAGCGTTAGTTAAAATGTATTGTTTTGGCTGCAGTGTGTGAAGCTGTGTGTGATGCTGATGAGCATTCATATCAGAGAGGGTTGTGTTTTGGAGGGAGACACTGAGGCAGAGCCACCTGGTGGTCTGGGCGGACAGCAAGCAGGTGGGATGCTAAAGAGACTGCAAACACTGGGTGCATGTAATGACCCCTAAAATTCAACCAGACCGACAAGCGTCTTCCAGCTGGGGCAAAACCTGCGGCTAAACCTCCAGACAGCAAGCCCACTGGGAGGATGAATTAGCCACTGAGTGATGAAGCAGTGTCAGCACACAGCTGTGCAATAGACCCACTGTTATCTTTGAGTGATCATCAACAATCAGCACACTCTTCAGCATGTCCGCATCATCATTCAAACCCCAGTGAAGCGCGGAGGAAAGGTGGGGTCGGATGAAGGAGTGGAGGGACTGGAGACAGCACGAGCGTATCTGTACGTCTGTCTGAAGGCTCGGTGATGGAGCACTTTCTGTCTGGAGAAACTGCATTTTGTCACAATATTGATTGCTTTAGTGCCCTAATTGAGGCTGGACTGCATGGCTGAATGGTTGATTATTGGAGGAGGGAGGGTGAGTGTACTCAGCATACCCCCTTCAGCTACAACTTAGGAGCCATGCAGCTAAAAATAACCTAATGCCCTCTGCCCTCCCCCCCCCCTCTTGCTCTTCCAGACCACTCACTGCGTGAGCTAAAAGCAAGATCACGGAGTCACCCCTGGCTATGCCATGCTGACCATTAAATATAAATCTACACAGTCCATTTTCAGAGCTCTAACTCAAAAATAACTTCCCCTGAGAGATGACTGGCAGGACTTTCAAACTGTGGATTTCTCCAAATACTGGAGCACTGAGTGTCCTCTACTGCAGCCTTTCTAAAAACCAAAAACACTAAAGCTAGAGATAATAAGATGTTCTGTTCTGCAAATGATAGCTTTTCCTTTTTAAAATTGATTATTTTTAATCTGATGTTATTTCAGATTTCAAAGACTGCTTTGCAAAAATAATGCATTAGTTGAAGGCGATGATGGATGGCAAGACGATGGTCAGACACCAGGTTTTTTGGTGTCAGTTTCTAGTATTTAATTTGTATTTTATCTCTATTTAGCAGATCTGAATCTGTGCAATGCATCAATACAGTCGCTTCAAACTAAGAGGACAAAAACCAGGTGGTTTTCATAAGGGCTCGCAACAGAAGGTACCTCCATATGTTTGATTTAGCAGATGTTTCGCATCGGATGCCCTTCCCATCCCAATGGGATGTGTCTCCTCCCATAATAAAACCAAGGGATCTTTCGCTTGTTAGGCCATATTACCAAGAGTCAAAGTTGTAAAATGGAAATACACAAGTTGGAACTATTATTGCTGTGTGACACGTAAAGCTGAGGAGGAATAGAAGCAGCCAATGAGGCAGTTGGGGTAAGCAAGCGACCTACAACTACAACCAATGATGCATTCAATTCACCAACCAAAACCCTGTGTCCTCCGTAGAGATTTTTGTATTCATACAGTTGGTGTCACATTTATTTCATCTTTTACCAAGACTTGTGCTTTTCTACGGTCTGCAGTAACCCAATCATTTACGGTGCAGGGGGAGTTCAGATGTTTGCAGTAAAAATCCTTCCCAACATATGTTCAAAGCCCTGACTATTGTTTCATAAGCCTTGCCTTTATTTTCCACTTGAAAGCTTAGATGTGTCACTCATACTTAAACTGAACGGCTTTCTGTTCTCCGACAGCTCAGCTCAAATTTCTGCCACAGACTGTGCTGACTGCGTCGCCGCATTAAACCCCCAAACCCTCTTCAGGAACACACATCTGTGCTAATGGCTTCGCAAAAGTGACGTGTCTGCTGCAGCGATAATGACTCATTTATGCTTCAATTGCAGCATCGCTGAAAGTAGAGATTTAGTTACATGTACTGGATGTGTGAGCTGTCACTGGGTTAACGTGGATGTATCCAGATAGGAGCACGTTCAGGGCATACTCTGCAAGTGAAGGGAAGCGTTCACCCCCACCACCAAATATCTGTTTTATAGCCAAATAGCTGAGTGGCAACCATTCACCAACTCTGGCAGACAGACTGCCCTCCAAGCCCACCCACTCATTTAGTGGGTTAATACAGAGATCACCAAACGATTTCGAGTCTCTGATCTTTGCCTCTGTGTATGGAAACTCGCTGGTGTCAAGTTCAGGGAAGGCACGGACCATTAAAATGCAATTAATCAATAAAACAATAATAACAAATGGACTAAGTTAGTCGGCTCAAGATCAAAACTGATATCCGATCCAAATATTGAATCCCCAGATTCAGTGCATGTTCTTTTATTAATTATATTGAGTTTCATTCTTTGAAAACTTTGTTTCTACTCTTCACTGTCAAAAAAGATGTTAACAGTGGGCGTTGGAATTAAGGATGTTGGTGTTTCTTTAGTTAAAAAGACCAGTATAAACATTAGACATTGTTGACATTAAGCAGATTTTAATTTAGTGAGTGTGAGCTACTACTTTTGTTTTATTCTATTATTTCACTGCTGTAAAAGCCAAATTCCTCTGCAAGTATCACATTTTTAAGTTCTGAAGGTGAAGATAAGTATTTTGCTCCAGGGGACACCTGAACTAACAGATCCAGCGGGATAAGCTTCAGGATGCTGGTTATTTGGGATCGCAGGGGCTCAGTGAAGCCCAAAGAAAGGCAGACTGAGTTAAAGCTGCTCTGTGAGTGTCAGAGCCTCTCATATGATCATCTATCATCCGTTCCTCCCTTATGACTTCACTGTAAAGAATTCACCAGAGCCAAAACTCTGATAAGATGTCAGGAACTTATCGCACTGTATGCATGTGGAGCCCAGCTGAGCTCACTGCTAATAGGCCGCCATCAGATCTCCGCTGAGACCACTGAGAGATGTCTGGCCCAGAAACAAAGGCCAGGAGAAGCAAAAGAGAAAGGTGAAGAGATAGGGAGGATATCTGGACTGCACACGACCTTTCCAAAACCAACAGCTGATGTTTTTTCTAGCCAAGTGGGATAGAGTCTGGCTGCGTGTTAAGCGCTCCACCTCAGATGACCAGTCTGCCTGCTGTGGCTGAACTTTTGCTCGTCTGCTCCCTCCACCATCACCACCACTTCCTCCTCCTTTTCCTCTGTCTCTGCCAGACCCATGCCAGCTCTCCCTCATTCATGCTTGCATTGGCTGTGTGATACTCCTCCGAACACCACAGACCACAGCACATAAATCCTGAGGGAAGCAGCACGAAGCTTGAAGCTTCTCCTCAGAAAGAGATGGAAAGGCACAGCGAAAAATATTCAGCGTAGAAAGAAACTAAAGAAGATTCAAACAGAAGCATTAACGACTTTTTGAATGCCAACAGTAATACCACAGGGACTCATTTATACTAGCATTTGCATTTTTTTTTTAATATAAGACCATCTCACTGTC